ACAGTTCTCATTTACTGTGTACTGTCTATTAAACCATTTTGTAATGTCATGAAGTAATGTGGCCATATTCTAGACTCTGCATAATTTCAGTCATTATTGTAATTCTTTTTCAAATTCTGTCAACAGAGACCCTTCGCTTTGACGCATTCTGTGATTCCATTCGATTGTTATTTGGGCCAGATATAAAAAGTAATGATTTGAAAGCCATCTTCAAAAAGATCAGCTCGAATCCCGATGCAAAGGTTGATTGGAGTGAGGTAAGATTCAGTCGACTTTTCTAAAATTTTAGAATAAAATTCAAGGCCAAAAGGACATGAAGGATGAAGATACTGCATGTGTTAATTTTTATCGAACGTGAACAATTAATATTTGAATTACGTTACTTTGTATAATCCTAGGTAAATCACCTTGTGTATATTTTAGTAGTGCTGCGCTCGCCATGGGGAATTCGTTTTAAGCCGGTAAAATATAAACATTATTGTTATACACATTGTTAGGTGAATTATAACAATCCAGTTGAACATTAGAATGAGAAAACAGACACAACTGGGGCGGATTTAGGGGGTCGAACATTGTTATATATGGCCTACACATTGTTAGGTAAATTATAACCATTCAGTTGAAAATTAGAATGATAAAATTATATTACCCACGAATTATAACAGACACAACAGGGGCGGATTTAGGGGGTCGGCCGACACCCCCTCCCCCACTCTTTTTTAAAGTAAAGTAAAAAAAGAAATTATTGATCGCCAAAAACGCCTCAGAGGTTTCCGGGCGTCTAAAATACTATACCCCGGTAGTGTTGCCTCTCGGTCGCCCCTCTCCCCTTCAGATATCTCTGGTTCCGCCCCTGGACAATAGGCCAATCTATTTTGTGAGTAAGTCTGTCTCATGTGCAGTCTCATATGGGATATACGTTACGGTACTAAACTGTACGGGACAGCAGCGTAATTAAAATTGTCTATTTCATTAAGTTGGCCTAATATTATTTTCTTTAGTTGTTTGGATATTTTCAATCGGAAAACGAAGAAAATGACCAGCTATTGAGGGAGGAAGTTAGTGTGTTTACAGTTTCGCAGAAGCAGCGGATTGGAGAAGCTTCGGGTACGTATCTCAAAACGTTAATTCTCTTAATTATAGTAGATATGTTTAAATTTTGTTTTCGAGCAGAGATAATTACGCCCTACATTACAATAAAACTATTAGGCCCTATCATTATTAGCCTATTAATAGTTTTGAACATATTTACCAACTTTTGTTAATTAATCATTTTGTTTTTAAAGGAGACAAGAAAAGACGGGACATAATACAGAGTGTAGTTCACAACGCTCAACTTGACATCTACATAGCTGCTTCACAAAAGGGTGCACTCTCCGTTTGGAGCGGAAAGGTAGAGTCATCTTGTATTCTGTCAAGATATGATATTATTAATAATAAGATAGATAGGCCTACCGTCGTCCCACTCCCGCAACATCGTCTTCGGTCTGTAAATTGACTTGGCAAGACTACAGGTCTTCTTAATTGAAAATTTCTTAATAAGTTTAGTATTGGTTGAACCTCTCCTTGTGTGTGTTCCTCTGTTTCAAAGAAGTTAATCTTTACCTACAGCCAAAGAATACTGCAGCTAAGTACAGCACGTGCACGTGCGTAATACAGTAGTTAATTAGTTGAAGTTCGATCATTAAACCAATCAGACAACTTCCTTCTGGCGCATGCTCAGAATGTGTATTGCAGCTGGCTGGGAAAGGAAAAATCAATCGCGGCGGTCGTCGTCGTTGGTGTGTGACGAGGGATTTTTGAGCGCTCTGAGGAACGATGTGCTAGGCCTAAAGTCAATTTTTTGGTCAACATTGATCATGCTTATCAAGTTTTGTAAAAGGTAGAAAGAATACCCCGGATTGTACATTTGATATGTAGAGCTAATACAAATCCATGCAGTTGATTGAAGATTCAATCAGCTAGGCTAGGCTAGCCCACCTAACCAAGCCTGATGTTATCGAACGCATTGATTGAAGAATGTATGTAGCCTAAGCCTAGGGCCTAGCTGATGGAACCACCGGCGTTAAATTGATGTGTGCAGACTAGTGTGTAAATTATTGAAGTTTTATGCCTAGGCTTGGCCAGTCGAGCCTAGATGGCCAAGCGTAACCTAGCCTAGGTAGGCTACACTACCAATAATAGGCCAACTACTCGTAGGTTGTTGTCAAGGGTAGGAGTACTACTACTTTTACAAACATTTTGGTTTCCAGAATATCGTCGTAGAAGTAGCCTTGAAGAAGCCCACACTGTATGTAAAGTATTTCATTTGCATGGAGGATATTTCTAAAACCAATACATAGTTGCTCGGAAAATCGCTAGGAGAATAGGTGCACTATGAACCGTAACTACTGATTTATTATCCAAGGCCTAATTTTTCTGCAAATACTTCACAGTGCACGGAAATCGTCCCTGATTTTTCGATATGTGCAGATGGAATTCCAGGCGTAATTTTTGTGTGGAGGATGTATTCCCTGCGCAAGCCTTATTTTATATTCTGATAAGAAGCACTGAAGTCATAGATGGAAAAATTTTAAGATAAGCAAATTTTCTAAGGCGCTGATGTGGTGTTTAACGAAAAAATTTGGAATGGTTTGCTAAGATACAGGTTTTTGAATATTTAAAAACTGGAAGAAAAAGGAGTGTAACCACGTGGAAATAGTCATTTTTTTCTTCAATATACGCGGACAGAATTCCAAGCCTAATTTTTGTGTGGGGGGATATATACCCCGTGCAAGCCTTATTTTACATTCTGAAAAGAAGCACCGAAGTCATAGATGGGAACATTTAAGAAAGCAAATTTTCTAAGGCACATAGTGTTAGATGAAAAAACTTTTGAATGGTGTAATAAGATACATTATTTTCGAATATTTAAAAACTGGAAGAAAAAGGAATGTAACCACCCAATTGTAATAGTATCACAGAGCCTAACGAATGATTGAGTCAAAACAAAATTTAATCAAAGATGTATGAATATGTTAAGTTTAGCATTGTGATAATGAAATCATATTTATGATCTTGTGTCTTCTAAACATACAGTATTTTTATTTTTGTTATTCAGAATCTGAGGTTGCAGGGATGTGCAGATGTTAAAGTGAGTTTTTTAGTCTGTTTTTTTTTCAAGTGGGAATCTCCCAACATAAAAGCCAAATTTAACTCCCTTATTGAAAAGAAATATAATGGGTATCACTTATGGCTTGGGCAAAGGTTTCTGATTTAAAGTGTAATGGAAACACTAAACTGAGGCAACATGAGAAGGCCTTGTAAAATATTTATAATAATAATAATAATAGTAAATAAGCAATAATTATATACAAGTAATTTGCTTAAATTGCAAAACTTGCCAAATTCTAGAGTTCAAATAAAGCTATTAAGATCTGTTCAGATTATCAAATTTGCTGTGACAAAAAAACTGTTGTATGCCCATATATAGCCGTGGTGTGACTCTATATGGTCATGATGTGATGTCATCATGACCATATTTAAGCATGTCACATGTTTTAAGTATAAAATTTGATAGTCTGACAGTACCTAGCTGAAGTTTCATCTTAACCAAACCTAAATAGCTATTTTAATCTTTTCCTGATGTATTGGTATACTATTTACATATTGATATCTTAGTAATATTTACATTTTCGATAGGAATCATCATGGGTGACTGGAGTGGATTATTTGCCAGGTCTGCGCAAGATTACTGTGTCAACAGAACGAAGCTTTGCATTGTGGGATTACAGAGCTAAAGGCAAGAATCAGGTAGGATTATGACATAAACATACATTTATGGTACAATAAATGCAATGAAAGATAGTGAGTATCAATCTTGTTTGGGTTTACTTCTCTGATTATACATATACAATGTGCGAGGTAAAAAATAACAAGGGACCCCTAGGCCTTAGCATATTAGGAATGTGCAGAGGCATAGGCTGGTTTCGGCCTGGGGTGGGGGAGAGGGGTGCGAAAAATGATGATGCAGAACTAAATCTGAGAATGGGGAACTACTGTAAATGACTATTCCGATGGAAACCTAACAGTCATTTTCAGTATTGTAACCTATTTAGTGGAACTAATTGCTGCCATGTTTGCTATTTAAAGAATTGTTTTTACTATTACACACATACAGTACTCTTAGAAAAAGAGTGTTTTTCTTCTAGAACATATTCTGTATTAAGCCGATAGACAACTCTGTGCAGTGTATGAGCTATGTACCCCATAGCAACAATCTCCATGAAGACAGCATTCTCTATGGCGATGACCTTGGTTACCTGAGTCTCATGACCATTGCTGCCAAAGATCTTAATACCAAAAATGCAAAAGTTGACAAGAAAAATGGAAATCTATTGCTAGAACCAAGTGACTTGAGCTAGTGAGTATACACCATTTTTGCTAAATTTAAAATGGGGGACTTCCCGAGGCCGTATTTCGCTCCACATATTATCTGTGCTTTGTGACAGGTGGGTAACTCTTTTGTAGTGAGTATGCCTAAGGCTAGGCTAGTCTTCGAAAAATAATTGCCTAAACAACAAAAGAGAAAATAGGGGAGCTTAAAACTTGCATTGTTTTTGGTTATCGAAGTACTCAAATGAAGATATGTGTCTGGAAAAAAAAAAAATTTGCTCATGCTAGGCTGCCACAGTGAATATGTGAGACATTGGTGGCGCTGTTTAAAATAGACCAGATAACATTTAGATTCTTATTAATCTAAGTAATTTTCTAATTTTCTTAATAGCCCTGTATGTAAACGCAAGCTCCATGATAACTGGGTGTTAAAGGTAAGGAATGTAATAATGATGTCAATTATTGATGATAAGGCCTAAAATACTTTTGGTTGCTTAGACTGGCAAAGAGCCCAGGCCGCCTTACCTACGGCTGACTCAAAACGACTTTTCCGTTCCCGATTAGTATATTAAATCAGCTCAGGATCGCACTGCGACCGTCCACACTTCCTCCTTGCGCCAGGTTTTGCTGAAAATGTGATTTTATAAGATGTCAAAATTGACTGCTATCATGGCTATCTTGGTTCTGTTTATATTCAGATATGAAGAGCCTCTCATTGCAAGACCTAAGCTAACATTAAAGTTGGACTAACTTCAGGTCGCATTTGGGCCAGTTTGATTGTTCACACACAAAAAAAGTGGCCCTGAGCCCGTCCTAAGTGTGATTGGGTTATAACACAAAGTCTACAATCATACAAAGTATGTTGGCGGCTTTTTACACTTCCAAAGAATAGCCCAAAACTCTTTTATGTTTAGAAAAAAACCACAATTGTGATATTAAGCTATTGGTCCCATGCGTAATATATTGTACCTGTATTATTAACTTAATTACAATTTAACCATAGGATTGTGACAATAATTACTTTCACTTCCTCTTATAGACCTCTTTATGATGTTCTCTATTGTTTTCATAGGTTAAGTATTTCCCTGAGCTACGGTGCTTTGCATCCTGTTCGGCCAGTAGTAATGTTTCATTTATCCTCGAGGATGTCAACCGATTATTTGATAATCAGTAAGTATGTTTATATTGTAAATATAGACTACTTTCGCTTCATCGCAGTCCTGTGAGACACCGCTTCGTTACGGAACAACTACCATCAAAATGGTCGATACGGCAGAGTGCTTTCACAGTTTACATAATGTTGCTTAGTAACAAAGGAGTGTCACATAACGTAATGTCAGCAATATTACTCTATGATGCTGATCTTCAATACCATAACTGTCATTAACATCATATTATTATTCATCATTAATATTATCATCGTCATTAATATTATCATCATTATCAGTATCATAATATTATTATAATCATCATCAGTCATTAATTGAAATGGAGCAGAAAAAAGGAGGAGAATAATATTATTAAACATCATTACATCACATCTCTCCACAGACCGTGCCGCTCATTCGGAATTCCGAAAGGTGTCAATTGCTTTGCCTACTGTGCTCGTGCCAATATCATAACAACCGGAGGAAATGATAAGATAGTTCGCATTTGGCATCCTCATATATTCTCCCGACCCACGGGTAAAATGATCGGCCATCTATTTACAATCATTGATTTAGTTGTCAACGAGAAGGATCAGCATGTTATAAGCTTATCAACTGCTAGGGTAAGTAATAAAAATAATTTATGAAGTGATTATTAAAAATAAAAATAAGGTTAGACTTATATAGCGTTTCATGCCAACAAGGCCTCTAAGCACTTCACATTATTACCTCCGGTCATTAGATCAAGCACATATGGAACACATACTCAGCTCCCTGGGCAGAATCTTATAATATTGCATCTGTAATCAGCACATTATGTGTTTGTACCTATCAGGTACCCACTTGTACTCTGGGTGGACAGAGACAACCGTAGCTAAAGTGCCTTGCCCAAGGACACAAATGCACAAGGGATTGAACCTCCAACCTCAAGGCTGATAAAAGAACCGCAACTGCTGCGGCAAACCCAATATGGGTTCCTTTCTCGGGAAGAATTTGCACCTCCCCAGTATCTCTCACTGGAAATAGGGGAAAATATGCTGAAGTAATTAACTCCCCCACTTTTGCAATTCTCCCCACCAGCTTTCCCCATCCCCCATATCATTACTAGAAACACAACCATTGATTCCATTGAATGCGCATTATAACAACACAAATGCAAACAAATTCATTATAGCATATTGAGTCTAAGAAAATAAAGAAGCTTATACGTACTATTAATTAAACCTTGTTTCAAGATTTTTTGTATGTTATTAACAATAAATAGTATTGGAAAAATAATTGTATTTGTGCATCTGCCAGTGTTTTAGTTTTATTTATTTTTCTAGACATTTGTTAATGGGAATGGTTGCTGTGATTGCTTTAGTTCCTCTTAACGTCTGAATAAATAAAATAATCAATGATGAATTGAATAATGCTGATGTTACATGTTCTTGCTTGGTAATATATATTCACTAATTCATTATTTATTGCTAATAATATTATAAAATATAATTAATAAATAAAAATGGTAATTTAGGAATGTTAAATTATAAACTATAAGTAATATTCAGTAATTTATTCATTATTTGTAATAATAATATAAAATGTAATTAATAAATAAAAATGGTAATTTATAAATATTAAATTGTAAACTATATGTATTTTAAAAATTAATAACAGGTTTTCAGAATCTGGGACATCCATACACTGACGAGTTTGCAAGTTTTCACTGACAATGAAGAGCGACCAGGGGAAAAGCGGATTCACTGTATGTGGTTTGATGAAAAGCATGAAAGACTGATAACAGGTATGCAATAGGACCAAGAGGGAGGGGAACAAACAGCTAGGCTGAAAAAAGTGATGAAGAAAATGTCATCTTTTTTGAATGACTGCTCCTTATGTATTTCTTCATTACCCAGGGTAGCCTGATCTGTGCTCAAACATTGTTATCCTTCAGGGCCCCTCAACACATACAATAACATGCAATTAAATGACAAAAATCGAGATATAGAACAAAGACAGTCAATTAGCTTTAGAAAATTTAAATGTTTTTAATGTTTAAAGGATAAATTCATAATAATAATAATAATAATAATAATAATAATAATAATAATAATAATAGTAATAATATAATAATTAAATAATAATAATAATAATGATTTAATAATAATTATATAATAATATAATAATAACTATATAATAATAATACTATGAACTCAGTAAATAATTAGTTACTCAAATTACGTACACATTTAAATTAGATTTTGTTTGTTTTTAGGTTTCGTACTTCTATGTATAAATTATGTTCTAAAGAATCTAAACTGTAGATGATATTGAATAAATCTAATTAATGCTTAATGCTGCTATTGATAGGGATGACTGGTAAAATGTGATCTTGTGATTCAAAATGTAATTAATATTGACTTTTTAAAATCCTATCTAGGTTCAAGTGTTCTTGACCTCTGGCCTTTGACCCGTACAGTCCAGGACACAATGCAAGTTCCCCATACCCATGATCGACCCATTGTACAACTGCTTTACAACCAAGAGCTCAACCAGGTTGTAACCGTCTGCTCAGAGTCTATTCTTAAAGTAAGTTTTAAACAAAACAATTAAATTTTGTTTTATCATCAGTGGCGGATCAATGAGTTCTTAATAGAGTTGGTTCAGGGAGAGGCTGTCACAGATATAGAGTCCACCCACCTTAGCCCCACCATGGTTGGAGCTGAGGTAAGAAATTGTATGCCACGAAACGAAATTGCACTCTCAGACATAAATTTGAATACATTTTTCTTTTTTTCTCCATTCTTTTTTTTGTTTTGAAAAATTCTGTGGGGGTGGGGGGCAGGATCCATCACTGATAGTTATTATATACCCCAGGTATTCATTTGTCCATCAAAGAAATACAGTAGCATAATATCTGTATTTCAAACCAGATGAAATTGTTCAGCTGTTTCCTGAGTGGAGTTGCTGTAATTCCATTTTTGTAAGGTTTAGCGCTAGCATTTTCCCAAACCAACCATAAACATAAACCGTAGCAGTTGAAAAATGAATGAAATCTTCTTGAATGCCCTACTTTCATCTTGTAATTCATATGAAGTTCAAGTCACCAGTTATCATTGTTTTCTGCATATAGAGGACTGCTTTTTTTTTTTAAATTGTGTACCATTATTTTTTTCCAGGTATGGGAGTTAGAGACTGGTAAATCGGTGTATTCAGTATCAGACGCACATGGCACCAACATAGAAATCACTGCAATAGCTGTTGATTCCACTGGTTATAGACTAGCCTCTGGTGCAGTTGATGGTAAGGAAATTAATTGATATCATTTCAACATGATTAATAATAATTATTAATTGTGAATGCATTTATCTCAGGGGACTAAATGCGAGTGACGTTAACGCATGGTCTTTCAGATGAGACATTTTAGCCTTAGTTCTGTGTGCAAAATGGTCTGTGCGAACGTTGAAGAACACAGTACACTCTTATGAAAAGAGTAGGGGATTTTCTCCTAGTGTACTGCCCAACTCACCACCAAGAGGACCTCACTAGAGAAAGTCTCCCGACTTAGTGAGTGTGGGTTATATTTGGTGAATTTCACACCAGAATTTCAAACCAGAAATACTCATATCCTCATGTTGTATGTTGGCCAACATTAACCTGTGGGTTTTATTCGTGTAGGATCTGTAAAAGTTTGGGATTTTGGAAGTGGACAGGAGATTCGCATGTGGAACACGAATAGTACGAATGAAGACGACAGTAGCATTGTTGGACTACAGTACTGCGATGTTAATGGACATCGGTGCATACTGGCCAGTGGATGGAACAACAAAATATGTCTGCTTGAGGTTAGTTTAGATTCATGAAGTTTGACAAGTTTTTGGTTATATATGAGGCTTGCATCCCAGAACCAACATACTATCGCTAATTGTTAAACTGAATAAATAGCATGGTGGCTTAATTGTATACTTTAGCACAGAGAAGCTGTAATGTTTTTAGTCATAACATTGGCAATAGTTAAAGTTGATCCCTGTAAATGACCCATCAATTTAAAGCTTATAATGTGGAGAAAATGAATATATTTAAAAATCTTTTCATGTTTTTGTCAATAATGCTGGCTGTGCCATGGCAAGCCCCATGTTTTTAGTGGTAACTTTATACAATGCCTTTAATTACAACATATCATAATTCCTCAGATATCCGCCTACAAATTTAAATATGAAAATTGAATAAGTTTGACGTGTGGGCTTACACTGTCAGACTATGAATACTAACAAATGTGAGCCTGCAGGCCAGCTAGGCTAGATGGATCTACTCTAGGGCAAAGTGACTTATAACCAGGTAGAGCATTTTGCTGGAAAATTATTCAAATATTTGTAAGAGCTTACAATACCCCAACAAATTTGGTATCTTTTTGTGTTTTTGTGTAACACCTGTCGTGCTTACTGACATTTAGTCCACTCTTTGTGTAGATTTAAGCAATACTACCAACCTACTCCTATGATGAAACTTTTTTAAACATTTAGACATGAAAATATAGTATTCCAAATTTATATTTTGTTATTGTGATTATTTTGCTGTGGCCCAAGAAAAACTGAACCGAAGGGAAATATTTCTTTGTTTTATATTAGGGGTGTGGGGGGCCCCCCCCTTAGTAATTCATTAGTTTTTTTAAAAACGTAATAAACTAATTATTTGTCCGTTGTCATTAAAAATATGCTATAGTAAAAAAAAAAAATGCCTTTTTTTTATTTTATGTTTTTTATTTTAATTTTTGATCAGGATAACCAAGAGAGCAGAGAACTGATAGTGTATCTTGAGTTTAGTGACTTTTACCAACAACCAATGACGCCATCCAATTTTGAAGGCAGCTTTAACCCTGTGAATTCCTTCAGCAAATCCAGTCCACTACCGTCCATCAGCAACGCACAAATTACTAGTCTATATAAGAAGGTAAGAGTGAGTGGTGTTGTTACTAAAGCCCAGGTACAGTAGTTATCTCAGCACCTACAAACAACAAATTTATTCGATATAATTTTATTGTATAGCACAAATAAATATAACATTGTAAAGAAAAGGAAAGAGTAATGATAATATCATATTTTTGAATGCACCAAATATGATATATAAATATATATAATATTCAGATTAATATGGAATTGTTATGGAGAAACACCTCCACTGGTGATAAAGAATACATTTAAAAAAAAAACATAGTGTCCCCATCAGGATTCAAACCGGAAATCTAAATTACCCTGGTCAGATATTTATCTATACTATAGTACTTGTGATTCATCATTATTCATTGTGTATTATGCAATAAATTTGAGAAAACATTGTGCCCTAACAAGAACATCTACGGCAACACACAAGCTTTGTACCGAAATTTAGTAGAACACCTCAATGGTAATTTATTGGTCTTGGGTTTGAAACCCAGCAGTGTGGTGAAAATATGCTTTAAAAAAAATGGTCTCACCTAACAATTGCGTTGTTTCCAAGTTTTGGAGTGAATGATTTCAGACAGAAGTTTGATAGCTTTGATTTTTTGATTGATATTTTGACAGGATCATGTCCTGCAGTATAATGAGATGAGTTGTATAGCCTGCAATCCACCTCAGCACATGGTTGCTGGGTGCACCAATGGAAACCTTATCCTGTGGAATTTGACTGATGGTACTGTCAGCAAGCTGTAAGTGTCATTCACATTCAATTTACCTACCTAAGATAAGATAGTAGTGGAGGCCTACTGTACTAATATAGGAAGAGGTAGGAGAATAACCCATTAATCGCAGCGTCATTGTGCTGAATTGCGTATAGGCGTAGTCCTTGACTACCTAGCAGCCATAAAGAGGCACTTATAGTAGCTGCTGTACATGTTCACATCATTCCACAACAAGGGCTGAAATGAACCATAGCATCGGGTTAACCCCCTACTCTTCCGAAAGAAGCAATGGGTTCTTTAAAGTGCACACAAGCCAGATGTGTAGACTGGATCTCCATTTTAAGTCCTTATCTGAAAAGACTTGGTTCTACCAACCTAACCCAGGGCAAGGAGCAGCTGGAACCAGCGCCGATGTTGAAGCTGTGTACCTGTCTTACCGCTCGGCCACTGACTTGATATTCATTATATAAATGCTAACAAAGCTATTGGTTAACTGATAAGGTTTTTTATTTAATACTGGAGTGAAGTGGTATTGGACTCTCTCAAATGTGAGGTCGGAGGTTGTGTGCCATATGTGCTTCATCCAATGACTGATGGTAATATGGTTAAGCACATAAGAGGTCTCTACAATATGCGTTCTATAAGTCGACCATTATTATTATTATTATTAAATATTAAAATATGGAAATTTATGTATTCCAGGTATATGTATCCAGGCTGTACTATATCCATCGTTCATACTTATTCCAAAGCATGGTGCAATCTGTTTATATATAATTAATGACATGTACAGTATTAAGCCTATTTGTAGTATCAATAGATTGATTTTTACAATCTTTTAAAGCCTTTACAATTAGTATATCTACAATTCAAACGACATTGTTAGTACAGTAGTCATATGATGACCATGCATGTATCATGTACAGGAGTGTATTGTAACAAAATAATGAAATTTGGTTTAACCGTGTTTAGTAAGTGAAAGTAGAGGTCCAAACCTGAAGCTCTGGGCTCGCAGGCCGGAGTGCAGGTCTCTCATTCTTTGGTGCTCGAGCCAGAACTTGCAAGACTGCGGGGAGTTTGCCACTCTTCCCACTCAGCAGCCTGTTTTACTTTCCCAGCATATGCCAGTGCCCATTTATATTCCTTTGGTAGAGAGAGACAAACATACATAAAGTGTCTTGACTAGGGACACAAGCAACTTGCACAGCAAGGGTTTTGATCCCCCAGCCTGAAGGTTAAGAATCCAAGCCACAGCCGTTGCACCAACCGCTTCTACCGTGTTAGTAATCTGAATCAGTTTCATCAATCAATCAGTATTTCAGAGTGTCTAAGTAAAGCCTTACATATGCGCATTTAATAACAAGGACACATGTAGCAATGGAAATTTATTCTATTCAAACTATTCAGAGAGACTGTGAACAGGTTGCATTAATGTTTAGGAAAAATACCCCGATATTTTCAAGTTCAATAATAATAATAAAATACAGAGATCCTGAATATAAAGTAATATAGGTGGGGTTAATTATTATTTTATTAGCCTGGTTGGTTCTCTCTGAGTCACCAATGCCGTAAGTCTATCCTCTTGGAATATCGTTCAATTATAAATATAAGATATAGTATTGTAAATGTAATGCTAGTCATGTTTGTAGTATTGATGTCATTAATATTTGATGAGCATTTCTGAAATGCAAAATAAAAAATTAAAAAAAAGACTAAAAAAAAAATTTTAACTATTCATTTCTAAACTGTACATTAATGACTGTCATTAATGGAATAAATAAAAGAGCATCAATTATCTTTTACGCAAATTTAGATTTCATTTGCACAATCTGCCGTCCGGCAATAGAAGTAGCCATCGATCTAAGAATATGTATCCACGTCACATTGCCATGGTCACATTTTTAGTCCACAAAACAAGACGTCCAGACCCAGCATATATTAAGTAAGTGCACATAAAAACTATTATTTTTATTGTTATTATTATCTTTATTACTATTTTAAATTGTGTAAGAATTTCATTGCACCATCAACTGACTTTTACAGAGAAGGCAATAATTTTTAACAATTGCCTGCTACAGTGCATTTTTTTTCTGTTGCTACAAGATTACCACCTGTTGCTTTGTGCTGCATTTTTTCTTTCGAGTCTATTTAATTTTTTGTACATGTAGTGAAAATAGCATTCATGAAACTAGCAGAAACAAAAGTACAAGTCACCCAGCATCTTAGGCAAGGCAGTATGCATACCACCATGCTATATAAAAGAATGTTTAATATAACATTAGGCATGGAGAAATTAATTTCTAGAAATCCTAGGATCAATATGACTGGCCTGCCTAGAAGTGATGAGTAAAAAGGTCAGAGGTCATACAAACCAGGATGTCTATAAATACACTATTTTTCAATAATGCCCTCAAACCTTGTAATTATAAAAAATTTTGTAATATAACTAATAATAAAATTACTTTTTTATCAGTGTTTTTTTTTTTTTTTAGATATCTGATAAAATGATAAAGGTGTGATTAAGTTTATTTTTATTTTTTAAGGAAGTTGACAGGGCTTGTAAATGGTGCAACTCCATCGAACATGGATGACAAAACCGGAGAAGAAGACATCACTGTCCAAGATCCAGCGGACCTAGGAATAATTGAGACTGTACAGGTACTGTTAAATTATATATATTACTATTATGTAATTTTTAATTTATGTTCCTTTCAAATTCAGCATATGGATTAATATATATGTTACCTAAGTCTGTCAATCAAATCAAATACAATTTATTTCTCTTGCAGTATTTATAATATGGTACAATATTCCATCGAGTCAATTAAATGTTAACACTACAAAACCTGCAAGTATGTGATTACCATAACTACCTTATAAATATTACAAATATTACAGCTTGTGCAAACTAAGTGCTAATACAGCTGTACAAAACAAAGTACACGGAAGCCTATAAAAGTTAATAGTTTGATTTGGTTTGGGTTGTTTGATATCATAAACAAATAAAAAACAACAAATACAAAAGCAAGAGGCCCTGTCAAACATTGATATCTGGGATAACCCTCTATATTTAAGGGATTTATTGTCAGAGGGTCTCTATGAAGCATATTAATGTGGTACATCATTGGTTTTAATCTTCTATAGTATGAACAAGACAAAGAACATGAGGAACATACAGAAGAAGCTAATGAACAAATCATCGGTGAAGTCAATAATGAACCTGACCAAGAAGGTATAACATTTACTTTTTATTTATTTTTATTAACCAACAAGAACTCCACTCACTGTGACTCATAAAGGAAACTTATAGCATCAAAAGTTCCAACAATTAACTTTCCACACGCTAAGCCTCATAAAGAAACATGGTTTTCGTAAAGCAGCTTGATTTTAGGACATCAAAGGCCCCACCTTATCGGCCCTCCACTCCAAAAGCTTTATTAAGCAACTCTTTAGGACGTCAATGATCTCAGCTTATCTGCTCTCTGCTCTAAAAGCTTTATAAAGCAACTTGGTTTTAGGACACCAAAGGTCCCAGCTTATCACCTTTAAACTAAAAAACTTTATAAAGCAACTTTTTAGGATGTCAAGGGTCCCACCTTATCAGCTCTCCACTTCAAAGTAATTGGTTATTATGACATCTCAATCGTCCCACTTGATCTCTGCTAGCTAACCAAACCTCATAAACATACTTGGTTATTTAGCATCGAGGGTCCAGGGTCCCATCTGATTAGCTGTCGGCTCCTCAGTCTTCATACGCTTAAACATTATCGAGGGCCCCAGCTTATCAGCTTTCCTCTGCATCGAGGGTCCCACCAGATTAGCTCTCCAATCCTCAAACTTTATAGACTTAAATATTATCAAGGACCCATCATCTTCTCAGCTCTCCTCTCACCAATCTTCATTAACTTGATTGTAGAACATCAAGAGTCCTGACCTGATCAACTCTTTACTGCTTAAGTTTCATAATGAATCTTAGTCCATTGAGTCAACTTTGTAATTGATTGATTGATTAGTTAGGTATAGATCATGCCTAGCTACATGAATTATGCTTGTGAACATTGAGTAAAAAATTAATATTAAAGCAAATATACCTCATACCAAAGAGTATAGAACAGCAAAAGGTCCTGATTTTGTATGCAAGTAATGAAGCGTTTAAAAAAGTACTACGGCAAGATAGGGGCGCCCTATTAACATTTGAATAGAATTCGAAACTCTAACATGTTTTCTATAAGACTATGTAGAAGCCTACGTTCTTTTGAAGGATGCCCTCTAGATAGGATTGCATTCCAATGAGACCCAGAGGTTCGGACCTCCTGCAGTTCTATACTCTTTGCTCATACCTTATAATAAATTATATCTTCATAGAAGATGATGCAAACAATTTGGAAACCAGAGAACCAGACACAAAGCCTATAGTTGAAGATGAAGACAACTCACAGAACACTATAGTGAACGATTCCAAGAGTAGCACACCAAACTCTCTCCTTAAAGAACTTGATGAGGAAAATATTGACCCTAACACCAAGATGCTAGTGTCCGTGTTTGATCCAATTATTGCCTCTTGCCATGCTGATGGATTTATCCGGTTCTGGAATCTGGATGTACGTTATTATCAGATATTTCATAGTGTAGAGTGTAATGTAATATTCAACTTATTTAATTGAATAATCCAAGATTTTAAATATCATTCTTGGATTCCTCAATTTTTGGACAATAATCAAGGATTATAAATTTACCTTTGAAGGAGTATGGATTATAGATATGTGGTGGTGGTGGTGGTGATGGTGGTCATGGTTGTGGTGATGTTGGTAGTGATGGTGATCTTATGTTGATTATGTTTTAAAAAGGAAGAAAGCGATATTAAATACTTAATGCTTGGGTGTGTTGGTGTGGTCGTATTACAGTAATTGTCTGTTGTAAATTTTATTTGTTTTCAATTCTGTGACCACCTTAACAGGGTGAACTGTTGCAAGAATGCACATCCATCACCAAGAGACTGGGCTCAGGAATCACTGCCATTTGTTCTGATGAAGATTGCAACTTTTTAATTACAGGAGATTCAAGTAAGTCTGTATACTTTCATTTCATTATTTATTTGCAGGCCTGTAGGCAGGATTTTCGATGGGGAAGTGCGTTTTGCGAGCGAAGTGGACCCTAGGCTTCGGAAACCTAGGACCCCCACGGGGGTGGGGCGATCACCATGGGGGTGGGGCGATTCCCCCAGAATTTAATTTCTGTTCATTTGGGTGTTGTCAGGGACCAAAAGTTGGAACTTTATGTCCTTTACATCATTTAGTTGTTCATAATGGATCCATCTCTAATCACTGGAGCTCATAAATTTTCCAACAAATTTCGTACCACAGTAATATTAAATTAAATCAGCAGCTTGAAGAGTGGCATTTAATGCAATGCATACTATAGCTAGTTACTATAGCATTTAGGAACATTTTTAGTGAATTAAGAGGATATGGAAAAAATGGACTTTTGAAATTTTGAGGTCGAGTGGGGGTTTCGGGGTGAAGCCCTGGACGCTCAAAGATGCATTTTGAGAGCCTTATAAAATAGGATTTCTGAAACCCATAATTTTTGAATATTCTATTTAATTTTCATTCATTTGTGTGCAGTAGAGACCTGAAGAAGTAACATTTTTATGTCCTTTACATCTGTAGGCCTACAGATAAAATTGTTCATAGTGGATCAATCTGTAATCACTGTAGTTGATAATTTCCAACAAATTTCATACCAAAGTTATTTAAAATCAGTGGTTGTAAGAGCTGGAAAAAATGCAATGCATACTCTAGTGCAGGGGTGGGCATAAAAATCAGTCGAAGGGCAAAAGTGAAATTTTGATTTAACACTGAGGGCCACACCCAAACTTTGATGTTTCCAGTGACCTTCCAAAACCTCCAAGCACTGATTTTACACCACTTTATTCTTAGTTAATTTTACTTTTTACATATAATAGGTGTCAGGCCTCAAAAACAAGGTGTTTTCTATGCAATGTTTATTGGCAGGCTGCACTCAGGATTTTTATTTCATTTTCACAGATTGCAAAAATATGCTGTCAGACCGCATGCAACCCGCAGGCTGCAATTTGCCCACCTGTGCTCTAGTGTTTCACAATAATTAGAAACAATTTTAGTGTTCATAATAGGTTTTAAAAAGTGGAATTTTAGGAGGAAGTTGCCTGGAGAGGGGGTTTGAGGGAAAATCCCTTGGATGCTTTGACAAAGTAGCAAGGGCCTTATAAAAATTTGATTTCTCAATTACATTCATGAATATTCTATTTCAATTTCTATTATTTTGTGTTTTTAGGGATCTATCCTTTCTCACAAACAACAACAAAAATGATAATAATCTCAATCTTCACAGAGCTCGTCGGGCAGTCAGACCATAAATGTGTAACTACATTTACCTCTGATTTGCATTTATTAAAGTACATATTACTTTTAATTTCAGAGGGATACATTAATATTTGGGATGTAGAGGCTTTCCTGAAGAATCCAAAATCAGAAGAACATGTAAGTAATGAAAAATATTTAAAATAAAAATATATAAAGATATTTTTTAATAATATTATTTTAATTTTTTTTAAATTTCATATTTGCCATTATTCTAAATTTGTAATTAAAGATTGTGCCTGGGCCCTGCTGTACTTTCATCATCTAAGCAATTGATCAGTTTGTTTCTACTCCCGACCTTTGACCATTGATAACTACTTGGATGGCCATTGGGAATTTGCTGCAATCAGTGAGCTATTATGAGAGCTCAGAGCTTCGATGTACTTAATTGGATTTACAGTCTCACTATAAGACTACAATATTTGACCATAAATAAGTATTATGAGTGTAGCAGATGCGACTAGGTGGTTTAAGTGCCAGCCTTCTGGTTCAAGATCCATGGTTTGGTTCATGTAATATCTAGAATTTTTCATCTTGTCACTAAGTAATTTTGTAATTTTAACCTTTTTAAAATAATAATATTATGAAATTAATGAATAACTTATTCAAATTCTTTTTATACTCTTTCCGGCTTGTATAAAAATTAATCTTTTATTTAATAATAGTGCCAAGAAATTTACTAAAAACAATATGTAGAGTTTGTATTTTTACATGAATTTTTATGTTATGTTTGTTTATCTCTAGTTATGTTTTTTTGTGGTGTGCAGTAAATCATTTAAGTAAACTTTGTATTTTACTTAATTATGTATCACCTAGAAACTGAATATCACATGTGTAACAATGAATTATAAAAAATCTGAAACAGAATGTCGACACAAATACATAATGCTTAACAGACTTGATTTCTTTATTGTATTAAGTTATAATTAGCTCCCATGTCACTAATTAAAATCTATTTAGGATGGGCTTCAGATAGGTGAGTGGAAGCAGCTGGCTTCTCCTTGCATTCACTCCTGATGTTAAAGGAAGCATCAGTGGCGGCACTACGGAGGGGGGGGGGGACCACACTCCCCTTTTTTCTCATCGGGGACATACTGTAAGCTCCCTGTTGGGGGACATCCTGGCTCTGCCACTGGAAACCATTACACACTTTGAAAAAAAAAAATTGTAATTGTCACAGAAAATACATATTATAGTGAGTATGATGAGTAGAATTGAATGAGTGTAGCAGATGTGACGAGAGGTTTAAGTGCTAGCCTTCTGTTTCAGGATCCATGGTTCGGTCTATGTAATGTCTAGAATTTATCGTCAGATTGACGAAAATATATATTGCTTAACAATCAGACTTGATTTCTTTATTAGCTATAAGTAGCTCCCATGGCGCTAATTAGATCTATTTATGATAGGCTTCTTGAAAGAAGAATAACGCTAATTATTTTATGGCTTCTAATTAAATATTGCAAATTTTGCTAACTGTATGGAAATGGCACGTCTCACAGATTTGAATATAATTTCCTTTTTTTCATTTGTTGTTCTATTCTTTAAAAATTGGTGAGTGGGGGGGGGGGTCGGCTGGGCTTCCTCTTGCATTCACCCCTGATGTTAAAGAATGCAGTGTACACTCTTTGTGAAAACAATCAAGATTGTCACTCAGAATACCACTTTACATATAACTATATCAAATTAATTTTTTGATAACTGTATTGACATCTTGTACAGATATTCCAATTGAATATTTTCACTACCTACACAATTGACTTGTCAATCAACATGGATAATGTAATAATATTTGCAAATTAATTCATAGTTCTTTTGACTCTAAAAGCAACAGCTGTGGTATAACATTTTTCTGATTTACATAAATTTATCTTACAGTAATATTTATTTTTATAAATTGTAATCCTTTATAAAATGTATTGTTAGTAATTGTAAATATAATAGAATGTTTGAATTCACGTTCATGTGATAAATCTGTCAGATCAATTTCCATAATTCAAATTAAATTTAGAAGTGTAATATATTATTAATTTTTATATTGATTACTTGTGATTTAAACCGATAAAAAATATGTTGATATTGTTAACATAATATTGTACATTTAACTTTACTTCATGTGATTGTATTTTTAATAACAAATGACAAATTTCATATTAAAATCTGTCAAATCAATTTCCATAATTTAAATTAAATTTATTAGAAGTGTATTATTAATTTTTATAATGGTTACTTGTAATTTACCAATAAACAGATAAAAAAATATGTTGATATTGTTGACATAATATTATAATGGTTATTTGTATTTGGGCTACTGACTATATATTGTTTATGTTTAAATGCTTTCTGTTATATGATTGTCAGTATTTATTAAACTTTGATATTAAACGAAAACTTATCTTTGAGCCATTTATTTTTAAAATCTGGTTTTCTTAATTGTAATAAATAATGTTGCTAAAGATATTAAACCAAATTAAATTAAACCACTCTTTACAACATCTAGGCTTTGTCAAAGAAAAGTGCTTTATGAAATTATCACCCCCTAGTCATTTGATTCAAAATACATGCACAATGTACAGCCTCTTCTGCTCCCTGTCTCTCTGGAGTATTTCAACCTAATCAAAATTAATAACTTCCAATACAGCATGCCCCATGATAATTCACAAATGAAAAGGTAAACCTGTAGATCCTTCAACTGATTTTAATTGCCGAATGATGTTCCAGTTGGCTAATTAATCTCATTTTTCTCGGCAGGGGCTAATTAAGCAAGAGATAAGCTGGCGTGCACACTTGACGAGAGTCGCATCTTTGGTTTACATTGGCAGTATGCAAGTTATTGTGTCTGGGTCAACAGATGGGTCTGTGAGGTAAACATTATCTCTCATCTATTGTTAGGCCAAAACTTAAGACTGTCGTCGGCCAATGCGATTCTATGAAGAGCAAAACGTGCGGAACAGATCGTTTTTAACGACGATCCATTCAGAGTGCCACTGACATTCGTAAGCAATGAGTGCCCGGCTTAAAAGTTTGTGTTTCCGAAGCCTGACCGACCTAAAATTTTGAACATTCCTTTTTGTTTTGGAAAAATATATTATTTTTACCAAGGAGGAGATAGAATCACTCAAGCCTTTAGTTTATTTAATTGATACTATCAGACTTAAGAATGGGTTTTAGTACCCTGTTGTTAAAATTGAGGTGACCAATGGTTAATAAACTTCGCAACCCTCCTGCAGACACCCGCAAACCTCCCCTACATCAACTAAACCACTTGATAATTATTATATAATATATTATAGAGTATACCAAAATCCAAAATAAAAAAAATAAAAAAATTAAAGTTATAATAATCTACTTTTGCTAGCGAAAAATGATTTTTTTGTTTCATGAAAAACATATTGCACACAGTACCTTACAAACCTTCGCTCACTCATCCAAACCCCTTGAAAAATGAATAATATTTGGTTTTTAATAGTTTATTCTTTTTGTTATACATTATTTAAACATTTTAAGTGGTTTGGACGATGTAGGTGGAGGTGTGGGGATTTGCTGCAAGTTTGCAGGGAGCATTGTGTGGTTTGCAGGGTTTTAGCAATTACCAGTTACCCATTTGAATTAGGCATTAGGCCTAGAAATAGTAAAAACATATTCCCAACTGATTGATCATGATTTTTAAGTTTCACTGTGCTTCGGCAAAACAATAATATTTATTTTTGGCGTCATTTTTGCTAAATTACCAACAGTGTATAATGACCATGCCCAGTGGGCCAATGATATAATGGGATATTCGGAAAATATGAATTAACTTCCCAGTGAAAACAATGCCTGTTTCTGTATGATTTTTTATTTTATTCAAGTGTAAAACATGCATTTACAATGAACAGCTATACATCTGAAATTGTAGTTATTACAAAATCAGTACATTCAATACAATAGTATAATATGAAAAAAAAATTGTATAAAAATATAATATATACATTATATTAAAAGTATATAAAAATATAATATATACATACAGTAGACCTATATACAAATATATACAAGATGTTTTTAGTGTGACTATTTAAAAAAAACACAAACCAAATTCTTTATCCAAATGCCAGACTGTGGATAAAATTCTGCACACAATCAAGTTGAAAACCTCTAAAATTATGGCGATAATATGAATGATAATGAGGATGGTGATGTTAATAATAGTTGAATAAAACTGTATGTATCTTCCAACATTTCTCCAAACCTTGTAAATAAAATATTAATATAAACATTATTATTCAAAAACCATTTTTTATTATAATTGTTTGTTTATGTTCAATTACACCTTTTTATATTGCTAAGCATATTTTACCATATTTTAATCTTTTTATTGATCTTCAATATAGGTTTTTTTCCCCATAATACTGTTTAAACATATGGGGGATAAAATCAAAATAATATAGTCTTCAACAACTGAATGATGAAGATGACTAGTAATCTTTTAAAAAAATTCAAAACATTGCTCGTGTCAACACAACTTTCATCTTTAGAACCACATCACTTTTGTTCTCTATCTTATCAAATGGTATTTTGCAAAATTTATTGAACACTTATAATTATTTTTATACTATTATTAAATTACATTTCATAAATGCAAAATTTCTGAATTCATTAATAGCATTTGTTCGCCATCTCATCAAATATTATTTTAGTTATTTTCATATATTATTATATTAAATTTCATAAATGCAAATTTCTAAATTAAAGGATAGCATTTGTTCCCCTTCTCATCAAATATTGTTTTGAAAAAGTTACTGAACGTTATTATTCAGTATTATAATTATTTTCATATTATATTGTTATTACGTTAAGTCTCATAAAGGAAAAATTCTAAATTAAAGGATAGCATTTCTTTCCCATCTCATCAAATATTGTTTTGGAAAAGTTATTGAACATTATTATTCAGTATTATAATTATTTTTGTACTATTGTTATATTACATTTCATAAATGCAAAATTCTAAATTCAAGGCTAGACTATGCCCTTGAGGACCACACATTTTACAAAAATAATATTCAAATTTTGTAATGCTGACTGTGTCGGTTTAGATGAACTTTCGTACGAGGCATTAAAATAGATAACGTTGCCTACGCAAATTAATTGCATAATTCAGTAAACTGACTAAAAGCTTTTAGATGATGTATTTTCATAGTATGAAATCAATTTAAAGTTTGTTTTTTCAATGGTTTGTATCTCATTTCAAAGTTGCTAACTTTTAAATTCAGCTCACATTCATCCTGTCATGTCTTTTATGTAAACATTAACTCTCATTGGCTGTGGCAGATGTACAGTGTTGTCTAAATATTTAATTATAGATTGTATCCCCTGACCATATATTGTAACTTTTGCTATCACCGTGTTGGACTGCGAGGTTAAATAATTTCACTTTTTGTTTGGTAGAATGTGGTATGGGCAAGAACCCCAGCAAGGACATTTCATGGGCTTCTTCAGTCAGCATCGGCCGTGGAACTTTCCAAATGCGGAGCGATCCAGCTCTCCAGTATTGCCGTACGATATAAGTGAGCGCCCTCTCAAACATTCAAGTAACACGAATGAGAGAAGAAGCAAGCCTGGACAAGCCTTCAGATATCCTCTGATTTTCAAGAGCGATAGGTAAGTGAAAAGAATGACATTCGAGCCGAGTAATCTACACCCACATGGTACATATCGCTTGTGCCGTTGGGGAGGGAGTAAGTTATTCAGTAGTGCGTGGGTAGGCAGACAATGAAGGATTAATTATTCACAGAGAGCTGAGATTTGCTCCATGTTTATTGCATGACATTGCACCCACTCTTTTACAACACCCATTGGAAGGTGTATATGTGCATAGTATTGCTGCTCTTATTGTTAATTATTATTTGTATTATTTGTTTTTAATAAGTTTGCCTACTAGCACTTTATAATGTCTTCAACTTTCTTGAAAGAGACATAATTTTTGGGTAGGACACTCTACTCTAATTAAATTATCTCTTAGACCAGATGTAAAGTTGTTGGTCCTGTTTACACAAAGGCACTTTGCTAAAAAAAAAACACAGTGCACTATTATTAGGGAAAGAATACAGGATTTTTTTCTGATCTGTTGACCAATTGACCCCTTGACCAGTCCCTGTATGTACACATGTCTCTGGTGTGTTATGTTAAATTGTCATTTATATGTGTGAAACACAGATATATCTGCTTTTGACAATCCTAAACCATTTCCTTAATACTTCAGTCATATCTTCAAGATAGGTACTTCTCAATTTTCATGAAGTAATTATTTCTGTTTGTTATGTACTGTACTGATAACTAAATCAGCATTCTATCGTTATTGTTTATAGGTGGAAGCCAATGAGGAGATCAGCTTATTTCCAAGCACAATTCAAACACACACAACCAGAAGATAAGAAATTCTTTACAGCGCTGCAGAAGCCATTGTTCTATAATGATCATCTGGAGAGTTTCCGTACCGGAGAGATGCAGTCAGGTGCTGTCTTCAGAGCTCTACCAGTTTACAGAGTAAGAGCAGTTTGTATATTTTATTTCATAATATGCTTTTAATAATTTGGGGGTTTTTGGGTCACCTAAGGCATCCAGTTAAGGTTGATCCCTAGTGGGGTAAAGGAAGGGAGTGTCTGGTTTAGGATGATAAAAATTGTGCTTTTAGATCACAATTTTCGGAACTGGAAGCCCAATCACTTTTTTGGATCGCTAAATTAATATTTTGAATCTGACAACAACACTGGGTTATTCTTTTCTGAAGGAGGAAATTGCTGCCACTTGTGCTGACCCATTTTCTGTCCTATATAAACAAAACCTTTAAGACAAAATGAATTATTATTAAGTTGTCATTCGCTCAAACGCCAAACTGTTTATTTTGCTTGGCATCCTTTCAGGTTGAAACACCACAGAGAATCCAGACGCCAGCCTTTGAGTTCGGTAGTGGATGGCAGGGAAGTTCTCTTCAATATCAAAATTCTTTGAAGTATCGCAAAGCGTCTTCTCCTACCAAAGATCTTCCTAAGGTAAGATAATTTGATTTTATGTTGTTCTTAAAGTAGTGTTGCATACCAGTGGCCTCATTGAAATGGGGGTGCTGATGGGGTGGGGGAGCATGGGGAGTGAAGGTGAAGTGGGAGTGCTCAATGATTAAGTGAGGGTTGCTAGCAGGCAAAATAGGTGGTGTGAGGTGATTTTTGCATAATTGTTTTGCTTGAAAACATCCAGTGGTGGGACAGGGGGTGCAAGCCTCTTAAAAACATTAATGATGAATTATCCACCTCCAGAATCCAAGCCGGTATCACCTCGTCTCAGTTTTTGGGCTTTAAAATATGTTTTACATGAGCATTTATCACTCCCATCTACAAAGTATGTTTAATATGAATATTTATTACTCCACTTCACTATTTTAATTATTTATTTGAGGGCAAAATTAATTTAGCCATGAGAATCACTATAAAGAATTAAAGAATACATAATATATGTGTTCATTAATTAAAATAAGAATATTTAGTATCTAGAATTTACACAAGTTGGTCCACGATGTGTTAAAAAATAAATATGTATGATTCTGTTGCATTTAAGTGTCCATTACCAATTCCCAGTGTCAATTTAAGCTTGTTTTTTAAATTTTTAATTATGCTTTCAAAGTGTAAATGACCATTTTGAAATAATGTGATTTGCTTTGTGATGTAATTAAATCCACCTTTTAAAAATACTTAGCTTTGTGATAGATGAATTGAATTTGAGTGACCGCTATACAGCGAAGTTTAAAAAAGGCAGCACTTTCGACACATTTTAATTGAGCCGTGAGTTCTATTAAATATTGATACTTTGGAGCGTTCGAACGTGGGATTTGTTTGCCTATCACTTGCCCTACTTTGCAGTAAATGTTCAGTTATTAACAACTTTTGAGGATTTACAACCGTTATATAGATTTGATATGAAATTAAATTTGGTTTTGAGTATTGGGATGGAGTTAAAAGCTGAATAAACAAACCTATTACAGAGGTTTCAGCAACACACACATCATCAAAGTCACTAGCTGAGAGGGAGCTTTCGATTGAGAACGTAGAATGCATTCACTCATCCATGGCTGTTTGTGCAATCCACGTTCTATTTAAAAATTAATTTTGATTTTTTTAAGACGTGTACACGACATGTCACGAACGCAAAGACCGATACACTAATGTTAAATACTGTACTGTAACAGTCCTTGTTCTAGCCTGAACCGTGATTCTTCCAATGACTGTTCCAGAATTCAGGACAGAACATAAAAACACAAACTTCAGACATGCACAATTAATTGCATTTTAAAAAAAAGCTCTATATTATTTCAGGGAAGCAAATCATTAATACATTGATATGAATGTGCTAAAGACGAGGATAATATTAATCAAAAAATTATTCATATTAATATGTAAATTTCTATTTTTTTGTGGATTATTATGTTATATGAATTATAACAAATTAAAGAAAAAAATATTCAAAAAAAATATAAAATAACAGAACTATAAATAGAAATGGCAGTTTTATACATCATATCCATCAATCACATTATAATTTATTAGAATTATGCAGACTTAACTGTTATTTTTATATAACATATGTTGTATAATAGTAATTATCAATAGCGAATGTTTTCTTTTGTCTGTATGGTAATGAGTGTCTATGACTAAACATAACAGCTTGTTAACATTCTGTTTTGTTCTATGGCCCTACAAGCCTATTTCTTCAGCATTGCTACTGAAAAGCTAGACAAATGTTAATACTGTATATCTTTATAAGTAGGGATAATCAGGTCTTTAAAAACAAATGCAAACATAACTAAATGATATGAATATCAGGTCTTGAGATGCCAGTCAGAAACAGGTCAGGGACTTGGCACATTTCCTCAAAGGCACTTTTGAAGCTACAACAGAGTTGTAGCTGTGGAAAACTAATGATGGGTGATGATGGGTGGGTGATAACATTGGTAAACTCTGAATAATAATAGTCGAACTTAATGATGGAAAATTGGGTTAATAAGGGTGGGTCTAGGGCCATGAAATTAGGTTTAGACCAGGTGGAAAACTTCAAAGGTGGGTGGGCCCGCCCACCGTAACGGCATCCCTGATAAATAAATAAAAAAAATAAGAAAATATATAAATACTAAGATTTTCAAGCACTATGTTTAATAATATTTTTTTCTTTACTTAAATAATAGTTTAAATACCATGTTGTTGCTTAATAAAATAAGGTGTGGGCTTACGGCCAGTGTTTTACTAGAGAGAGCAGTTTGGCTCAAGTTGAGTGAAATGCTAGTAGCCACTCTCTCTGAGGTGAACCGTGACATCTTTACATGACCTAAGACTTGGTTCAGATCCATCTGCTGCTGTCCTTGTTCTTCAGCTAGATGGCTGGAATACAGTGACGTATCTAGAAGTCTTGAAATGTTGGGTGCTGATCTGGGGCGCGAAGGTAAAGTGGAAGGGGGGGGGGCTCGATGATCATTTGAGGGACGCTAATTCGCAAAATAAGGTAATTTTAGAGGTGTTTTTCAACTACCTGACTGTTTTTTTTTTTTTTTTGGGGGTGACTGGGGCTCTTTCCCCCAAGCGCTTCCTCCTAGATACGCCACTGCTAGAATATAATTATAAGTTTTGATAGTGTATTGTCGTTCAGATCAGACATCAATCTGTTTTTTCATTCTGCAAATGGCTATTGTGTAGTCTAAAAAAGTAGTATACAGTACCTGTCTCTTATACACATCTAGATGTGTATAAGAGACAGTAATATATGTGTTCATCTTTTTGTTTCCGTATTTGGTGAAAACTAAATTCCCATGTTTCTTCAGTCCTTTATTGTATTTTTTTTTCTTTTACTCTCTCTCTTTTGATTACAAATGTGACTGCTCTGTCTCTAGGGGGCCACTATCTTGGTCACTGTCCCTTATATTTGTTTGGTAATCACCTCGTGAAGATTATGTGTTTAAAATACAGTACAGCATTCTGAATCATTATTCATTGTTTTAATGTTCTGAATATGGATCTTCTACAGAATAACACATTTCAATGTCAATTTTTGCATGATGATATGCAATTATAGTTCTGAGGGCACTATAGAAAATAGAAGTCAAAGGTGCCATTATTTCCTGAAAAACTTGCCTAAAGCTACATGACTGAAAGCTATTTTTAAAGAAAATAATGACTACTAAGGCTTCTATTTTCTATTATTGTGTCCAGAATAACTTGACAATACAGTAATTGCTTATTCACCTTAAAATAAATATATGTATATTTTAATGAAATTAGTTGTAGTGATGACCGGATGCTCAGTGATATGATCAATACATTAACTGCGTGTGTGCATTAGCAGTGTGAATGAGAATTATTTTATAGTACGTACCATTGAGAAGGAAAATAACATACAGTACGCACATTGACACGCCACAAAGAATAATTGAATGTGGTTGATAAACTTAATTAAATTATTATTACAGTCGGTAGGCCTCCACTCTATTAGACATGAGATATAAATGATACATTACAATGTATTATTCCAGCGTTGTCTTTTTAAAAGTTAATCAGCTTTTCATCTCTACAGGCTATACTAGGCCTAGCAAAGGTCTATGCTTATTGTTCAAGGATTAATTTCTAATACACTGCAACTTTCTTTTTTCATCTACTTAAAAATAAAGTATGCATTAAAAACATTGTTTTATATATATATATATATGTATATATATATATATATATATATATATTGTATATTATACTATAGATATTTTTTTTTTTGAATTCCACTCTTTTCACTTGTGTTTACTGTAAGCATAACAACAATCTAAAAAAGATAATAGCCAAAGATTGTTCTGCTGTATATAAAATTTTAGATAGAAACTATCCATTTTTTCTTGGTTTATGCAGCATTTACCTCATTTATTGCACCTGCTGACCACTAAAAATGCAGGACTACTTCCAAATTTTATTCCTAAAGAATATCAAAGATACTAGAAATACAAGATAGGGCACTCGCATAGTAAAAGTGAGGCGAAAATACATCACATCTTTTACGCAAATCCAGTCGTAAGCGGCGCCCTTCAGTTTTCAATGTATCAACTTGCACAAGCTTATCCAGTTCACATCCGGACGTTCAGGGCTCCTTTCGGTTGCTAAGTAAATCCAGGCGTACGTGGCGCCCTTCTCTTTCCGCTAATGATGGAAATTTTATCACTAATCAGAGTTCAGTCATATGATTCTGTGCTTTTGTGTCTGTTATTTTATTTATTCTTTTGATTTATCTATGCCTACTTGTTTGTATCTTATGGGTGGCAACGATTTCTACCTCCACCAAACGGGCTGCCAAAAGATGTTATGTATTCACTGTGATGTAAGTTTGGCAGACGTTTTTTTAGATCTAGCCGATTGCGGTGCCCTATCGTTTGTATTCCCACCATGCATTTCATTAGAAAACTTTTTTCTTTGGATTACTCTATCTTGCGTGTCTAGTATCTTTGATAATATTTAAAAAGTGCTTGGTCTTCTCATTCTCTAGAATTGTTTACATTTGATTTAAAACCGGATATGAATCATTCCTGACTGCATACCTAATGGGTTAGGCAAATTAAAATTGATAACAAAATCTCTTTTATTGTGTTTTTAGAAACATTCAATGTAAAATGAATATATAAACATTTGGCATATGGATTCAGATAAGAGTTTTCGCCGTTAATATTATTAAATTGTTGAGGAAAATGTCCGTCACCTTGGTTTTAAGAGATATCAGTCAGCTTTAGCTAATGGTAATATTAATCTTTATTAATCTGATATATGCAAATTTGGTTTATATCCTAAAGCGCTGGACAAACCATAACAAACACAACACAACACAGACCCAGCTTTTCTGCAAAATTACAGTATTATAAAATCTGTTTGATAATAGCAATTATGTAAATCATGACAATAGAAATGGCAAGCTAAATTTAGATATTTCATTTTTTTTAAATGCACAGTGTTTGAATTGGCTGATAGAGGTAATCTTTGCTAAT